AAAAAACATATAAATTAAAAAAAATATATATATATATATATATATATATATATATATATATATATATATATATATGAATGAAAACTAAATTAGTGGTGCTCATTTTACTTGGAGCTAAACCAAAAGTCCACAAATGTATAACCCTCTCTTCAAGATAGCACTCATAACAAATAAGGTACAAAAAAATAAATATTACAGTACTTAATATGAAAATCTAAAATTTAGCTATGAGAAATGTACTGTAAATAACTGATCTTCTTTAGCGGTGATGCAAAACGCTGAAGAAGTCTGTAGGTTCATTTCAATCAGAATGAGCCTTAATAAATGTCAATGTTTTTGCTGAAGATATCTTTCATGAATTTAATGAGGGATTTGCCCGAGAAATGCAAAGAACATCTGGTTTCATCAAGTAGTGAAAAAAAGCCTCCTAAAATGAATAAAGGAGGAATACTATATATAGTGGTTGTCAATGATGTATGTTTTTCAAGGCAATCACGGTACTCTGGGGATATGGCCATAATTCCAATTTCCTGGACAGTTTTAAAATTCAGATTTGTGTATTATTATTTTATGTCAAAAATTTGTAGAAAAAAAGATATAATAGATTATATGCTTGCAGCCAATAATAGAGTACCACAGTCGTGTTGTCACAACGCCAGGTGGCGCTCTCTGTTGTCAACGGATGTTAGATACCGTTCATTACGCCTGAATGACTTCATAAGCTTTCGGGAATAGGCATTTTAAAATCTAACATTTTATCATCAAAATGTACTAAAAACACAAAAGCTTGCATTATATTAGTTATCGAACACACATTTAATCATCAATTAAAATTTACAAAGAAAAAGTAAGATACAACATCTTAATAATTACGTTAGAAATTGGGATCAATGGTTTGTCAGTGAAGAAAATGGCATCCGGTTGAACGCTTTTGCAGTGATTAGCAACGGAGTAGTATCACATGGTATCGTGATGTTACACTGTAGTACTCTATATCACTATGCATACTGGAGCAGTGTTGTTAAAAAGATTCTCAATTTTTTATTATAATAATCTGCGTCTGATGATAGAATTTGTACAAAATCTGATGGCAGAGGCAATCATTTATCAAAACCTAATGAATAGTAGACTATTGTTGATTTCAATATTGTTTAGGAATTTCTGACAGTATTGTTATGTGGTAAAAATACAAATATTCGCATGAAAAATTATTAAACCTGTACAGTATACTTTAATGTTGTTGGTCATTACTGTATTTCCTATTAAATAATAATATCTTTATATGTAATTGTTATTTGGAGAGGTACAGTAGGTTGGCAGTTGGGATGATCAACTCAAAAAGTGGAACATCTTGTGAGTGGTGTATCCTTGCATAATACCAATGAAATTAACATTGATCCATGAGTCATGTATTTTCTGAGGTGTGTTCAGATGTTATCAATTAAATGCTCCTAATGCATTGAAGAGTTGGTGAAAATTCTCTTTAAATTATTTTGCGTTGTGCCACAGTTTATGTGTGGTGCGTTCTGAAGGTGCAATATCTTAAAATAATACAATCTTCGCAGTATTCACCTGGTGGATGCAAGGTCTCAAAAGCATCTTGGTTTGGGAGTGGAAAAGTTGGTGAAAGGTATAATTGCAATATCAATATCTTCTATCTAATATGAGAAAAAAAAATCCCAGAGTTTTCTAAATATTTTGAAACGACACTCACGGGAAAGAAAGCAATTACTGTCCCATTTACTGCAATATAATTCTTTCTTTCATATATTCAGATTTATAGACTGATGAAGTTTTTTTTTAAAACTTTTTATAGGTCTAAATACAGAACTCATCAGTCATAATTTATTTATGTTTCGGCTACTGTATGTTAAATTTCTATATACTAATTTATTTACTTTGATTTATTTATATATTTATATTATATATTTTATAACTATTTTTCTTTTTTGGCTATGTTAAATTTTTATTTATTTATTTTATTTATTTTTTTACATTATTCACATATTTTATTTATTTATTGTATTTGCTTTAATGAATTTACTTATGTGTATTTTGTATTATTTATTTTATAACTGTAATTTAAAACGTGTAACCAGTCCAACATTACATTGCAAATCATTAAGACCCTCTAATTATTCAAAGTAAAGGTCACTCTCATGGACATTCCATAAACAGTGTTGATTGGCATAACATTACAGTGCAACATTATAATGTAAATGATACTCTTGATGACTTTGAGTATTCCAAAGTGTTCGCTTTGGATTACTAAAGAATTATTCAATTGAATACATCAGCATGATAACAATATTCTCTAGAGGTGAGCTGCAATAAACAAAATATCGCAGTATTCAAATACATAGCTCAGATCAGTGTAGAACAACTATTTCTCTAATAAATTGAATTCAAATATTTCCAGGGATCTTCGAAAAGCTGGAATTTTTTTTCCTAGAATGTTTAAAAACTTAGCTAAATACGCTGTTCATTTTTAATTAAGTCTTATGCCTGGTTTTTAGAACTGATTTTTGTACATCAACCACTTCTTCAAATGGAGCAATAAACAAATATTTGTCTAATTGAATACAAATAGTTTTAGGAATCTCTGAAAAGTTTAATTTTTTTTCTAGTATGTCTAAAAACTAAATATAGAAACGCCCTGTCTACAGTAAAAATACTGGTTTATTTACATAGAATAACAATCATTAAATATACTATTTATTTTTAATTCCATTAATTCTAAATGGTTTATGTTTGATTATTAGAACTGATTTTTGTACATCACAACACTGCTTCATATGAAGATCAACAATTTCTCTAATAAATCGAATACAAATAGTTCCAGGGATCTTTGACAAATTTGAATTTTTTTCCCAGAATGTCTAAAAACTTCCAAATAATCTATTCATTTTTAATTCCATTATTTCTTAATGGCTTATGTCTCGTTTTTGGAACTGTATTTTGTACATCAACCACACTGCTTCATATGAAAAACAACTATTTCTCTAATAAATTGGATACAAATAGTTCCTGAAATCTTCAAAAAATTTAATATTTTTCATAGAATGTCAGCTAAATAATACAGATTTTTTTATATCATTAAGTCTTCTTAATGGTTTATGTCTGGTTTTAGCTGATTTTTCTACATCAAATGACCGAAGACTTGATGAAAGAGAGGACGTTAGTTGAAGGGTACATTTCTGGTGAAAATCATGATAAAAACGGTTTTCTGTAGTTTGCCTGACAAGTCCCATGTGTAAGAATTGTATCACATGGTATTTCCCCATTCTATTATTATGTTTGGTGCGTGATGTTGCATGCTTCGCACAGAGGCTGAGTAGTACTATTAATAAGTTAGACGTGGAATAATTATGTAATATATAACAACTTTTATTCAAAAACTATAGTTCAATTGAATACAGTTTACTCTATAGTTTCCTTAACAATATATTTCTCAATGAGTTTTTTTTTTCACGCCAGTTAGTTTGGATGAATGTTATGGTAGATAAGATGTCAAAGTCGACCGCAATCAAAGCGAACTTGGACCAACTCAGGTTCGGCTTACGTTTAGATATGAAGTTGAGTCGGCCCAGGTACCGAATGCGGACCCTGAGCCAACTCAAAAGTCGGACTAAATTTAGGTCGCCTCAGGGCCGGCTTAACATTTATTATTTATTTATTTACACTTAACGAATGCCAATCCTGGGCTGGCCCTAAGTGTGATTGGGCTCTAACTCTCAACAGATCTTTCTGGACTGTCAATCAAACTTATCTAACCAATCAGAACAGGGCTAGGAATACGCACGTGTGCAACAAGCGCATGTGTTGTACCACAAACGCACATGCTTGCGTATGCTTTAACACTGTAGTTTTTGTGGGATCTAGCAATAATATCCAAGGGACATGGCTTTGTAGACGTTCCATTGACATTATAAACATGCAATATTACTTGGCTCACGCAATATTTTGTTTAAAAGTATAATTTTGAACTAAATTTAGAAAGATACTATACACTACATAGAGGAAAGTTAAAATTCCGGGATAAACCGTGCATTGATGATAATTTATAATACATCAAACCGTAACATATTGAGCTTTATAAATGCTAAGGTTCTTACTGGCCTATTTAAATAAAGCATCCAATATTGTGGCTATTCAGTCAATTACCAGCATCTAAAAGGCAATTCCATAGTCCCTTAGTTTGAATACTGTATTGTCATCTTAAGCACTGGTAAAATATACCGAGTAATCACTACAAGTACAGGTGAACCCTTGATTTACGACACTTCAACTTCCAACATATTCTATTTTATGGTCATGGCTCTGAGTGACGTCATCTGTAAATTTTGTCAAAGCACATGAAGTTTGCAACAAATTACTCGTGTCATTTACAACATAATATTCTAACGCATAATGTATGTAGAACTTAAGTCGTTTTCTAGGCTTAAGTACATCCAAGTCGCAGTGGTTTCCTGAATTAAGATCATAAATGTTGTAGTATGTTTACATTTAATTACCATAATAGAAATTTAATATGAAGCTCAAATCTACTCAAATTTAATTGTAATTATATAGCTGTTGCAAGTAGGGCCAAGTTTTTTTGTTTGCTGCATACGCTAACAGCTCCAGTTCTTTATGACTCAAATCTACTAACTACTGATTCTACAGCCCCCTGAATCAAAAAGTATTTTTTTTGTTGTTGATATTGTACGTTCAGACAGGCCTAACTATCTTTATGATTTTACCTCATGTTCTTATTTATGATAATTTCCCACCCACTAATCGGAACCAATCTGTACGCAAATTGGCGGTTTGACTCTGCTATGTAACGAGCTGCGTCTCTGAATATACTCTACATATAATCAACTGCAATAAAAAGCTTAACACAAACCTTAAATGTTTTGATTGAATTTTTTAGAGGTTTATGGAATTGCACTTTACACAGTATATCTTCATATTTTTAATTTAATATGTTTGTTTCTGAGTGAACTAACATTTTTTTAAATTTTTCTTCACTTTTAGCCAATTGATTACCAAGGATTCAAGTTGTTTATGGAAACATACCTCGATGTTGACATGCCTGAGGACTTGTGCCGACATCTATTCTTATCCTTTGTCAAGAAAGCGCCCTCAACGGTGGCTGCTCCGTCAGAAAATAAGGGTAAGGAGATGGATGCCATGGGTCGTGTCATTGCCATGACCGCCCAGACGATCTGTGCCCCTATCACAGCTGCAAGTGGAACCCCTATATCAGGTGAAGGCAAACTCACAAAGACCAGGTGTTATGGATGGGGCTATGCTTCTTTTAACATCAGCACTTTACTTTATCACTATATACTTTATCACTATATACTTATTCATGATCACTCTAATATTTTATCACTGTACATTATTCAGTTCTTTGTTAACATCAAGTCTACCAGTGTGTTATATATAAACTTAAAAACATAATTAATAAGCATTCCTGAACTTGTTAAAGAAATTGTTCAATTGATCTTGGTCAAATATATTGGGTTTCCATCTCATATGCTTTCTCAGGGATCCCAAGTTTCCTGTAACTTGCTGGAAATCGTGACAGCCTCCTGCACTTGGGCAAGCAAGCAAGAACTTCTCTGGAAAATAACCCATCTCCCTAAATTTTTCAAAATTATTTTTAAAAATGTGGAAAAAAGATTATTTTTAAATTTAAGTCCACAATGCCATTTCTGGCATATCTAGAGGTGCCATTATCATAAATTTTCTTACCCCTGCCCCAACCATGGTGGGGCTAAGGTGGTGTAGACCCTCCACCTGTGAAAGTCCTTCCCTGTTGGGTCCCCTCTTTTTCGAATTCCAGGATCCACCACTGCAGATATCCCAAAATTGAATTCGAACTTAAGACCACTGCCTACTGACTGAAAAAAATTAAATTCTCATAATAGTTTCCCTGAATGCATAGGTTATTCCTGATACAGATATCTTCAGTGGTCCTGAAACCCTGAGTTTCTTCTTATTGTAGTTTGATTTCTTTAAAGCTATATTAGCAGTAGAAACTACTCACACTTCAGTTTAGTGTCCTATGAGAATAAAGCTGCTTAGGATTAACCTAATGGCTCCATAGATACTAATCCGCATAATGGTTTGGGATTCCTGTGAGAGTAGGATGAGATATGAACAAGATCGTATTGAATACAGTGGGGGTTTGTAACTAATGCTTTCTTAGAAAATTTAAATAAATGGCAAACTAATACCCGATTCACATGTACAGTACACATGTAACAAGTTGTTAAAAGTTTTAGCAAGGATGGCTGCATGTGAATGCCAAAATCTCGGTAAAGTCCCTTGTGAAATTTTGTAATATTTACCTGCCTCAAGTGGCCTGTAAAGGTTACTATTTGTTACAGCTCATGCTCAGTTGTTTTTTGGGCGAGAGGAAGCTGGCTAGGCCTATGCCTAGGGTTCTCTATCGGCCAAGTTGGCCAAAAAGGCGAAAATAGAATCAGGCATACGCTAGCCTCCTAGCTAATCTTTACCTAATGAAGGTGCCTAGCGGCAGTGCTGTTTGGGATCTGTTTGTGCTAGATCCCTGTATAGTAAATGTACATAGGCCTAGGCCTATCTGTTGTCTTATTGATAGTATGTAAAAAAAAAGATAACGATAACCTGTAATGTTAATGCAGTGTGAAAACGACTAACCTAACTCGGGAGATTGTGTGTGTTACATCTTTTTAAAACTTGTTACATTTGGTGTACGTGTGAATTGGGTATTATTTTGGCATTTATTTAAATTTTAAATTTGTTGAAAGTTACATTTAGTAAATTTATAATTGCACATTGGTAGACATGTTTTCCTTAACTTATTTGCATGTGGCACATTTCTCTTGAGTTTTGCTTGATTGGTATCCATGGTTACACATTGTCCTTGATCTTGCTAACCTTCAACTTCTTAAAATTTTTATAAACTTTTTTGTTTAAATAAATTCTGATAATTTAATCTTGCTAGAATTTTACACTAACAACATCATAGTTATGAGAGGTCTACATAACTTAATATGATATATAGAAAGTTATAACAGTACTTTATTTAATACATATCAATAAATATATTAATTAGCACGTATGAACTTACAATCAGATACATATTGAATATTCATACTATCAATAACAAAATAATACTTGTAATATTTTGCTTTTAAAAAATATAATCGGAGTCAGTTGGAAATACTCCATGGTCCATAGTTAACTATCACAAACCTGGTAAAATTGGCAAAAATCCATGGTTATTATAGTACTATCAATCATAGGGTTGATGTTTTCCCCCACCGAATACTCAGTATCTTCACATCAATATAACTATTAATTAAATTAAATAAAACTTGAAAAATTGCGTTTTCAAACATCAATACAACTATTTTGAGCTCTTTCTTTGGAAGAAAAAAACTGACTTTAGAATTGTTAAACTTGGGTTGGTAAGGTTCAAACAGTCCAATCTAAATTGTTGGACCTTACTGTAACCTATTGTTTCTATTGTATTTCACTGTAAGTCCTAATTAGGTATTGTTTGATGCATCGTATTGTTAATGTTTACCATCCTCACAACCTTGCAATACATCCGCATTTACAGGGATATCATAGCCTATTCGCATTAGTCTACGGAATACAACCGGCAAGGCTATCATTAATTGTGCCATCTATTATGTTTAAATGTCTGTGTTTGCAGTAAGAACGTGTTAAATTCATCGAGAGCTGTGAACACTTCTACATAACTAATCATTTGATTTATTTAATGAGATGGTTGAAATAGAATTACATCGAATTATATAGTACATGTGCAGTCTGCTTAAAGTGAATGGCTTTCCATGCGATAGTCATCTAAACTTTTCATTCCATGTTAATGGAAGTCTTCCGTAATGTTGTCTCGCATTTAGGCAGTATCAATTTAGTGTCCAAGGATAGAGCTGTGAATTAAGCAACTCTTAACGTGAAGTACCTGTAAAAAGAGCTTTGTAACTAAACAGAAATGGGCAAAACTGTTTCACAAATGTCCATTAACATAAACATAACAATAATAGACACAGAGGATAGAGACACAAAGAATTGGAGCACTTAATCCAAGGTTTTGTTGCCTTTCTAGTGACTGATGTACTGTAGTATCTAGGTTAATATTAACATTAAATTTTCTCACTGTCATATGGTTAGTATTTTCATCATGTAATTTAGTTGTATCTATAGCCTATGATATAATAATAATAATAATAATAATAATAATAATAATAATAATAATAATAATAATTCTTTATAAAGCACCTAATGCAAAAAATAGCTCAAAACTATAGCTAAAAAAAAGCTAAAAAAAAAACTATTAAAAAAAAGAAAGCTATAATCTTTTAGTTATTTTGCAGTTTTCCCTTTTCTTTCTATTAGTTTATCACTTTTTTTTTTAGAGTTTTTCCAATTAATACTATTGTTGTATTACTATTAATTTATTATATAAATTATTAATCTTGATTGCTAGTTAAGAATTAAACTGTATTCCTCGCCAATTCTATTTTATCGTTTTGTTATAAGGAGTCGTTCACAATTATCATTTTCACAGGTGTACAAAAAGTACGCTAGTGGGGTACAGTGCCTTAGTTGGAAAAAAAAAAAAGAATTGATTTGCAAATCCAACATTTTTTTGTACACTTTTAGAGGGGAGAGAAGGGGTATCGAAAAGAGTACAGTTTGTACACTTTCAAAAATATTAATAATTGTGAACAACCCGTAACAGCCGTGTTTCTTCAGTTGTTTATTACCAGTTTGAAAGTATTATCATTTAGCACTGTTGATATATTAGAAGTTTCTGTCGAATGGAATTGATCAGTTGAGATAAATTGCGACTCATTTTACAAATTCAATACAAAATTAAAGTAGGCCATATGTAAAGAGAGGCTGATTTTCGAGATCATCATAAATGAGACTTGTATAGGCTATTGATAATCATTTGAACTACGAAGAGATATAAAGTCAATCAAATACAGAGTGGTAACAGATGCCTGAACTAGTGCATATCGGTTGTCATAGCAGCATCAAAAGCTGGTTACTGCTTCTGAGGCGTGAACCAAGTAATCCTTATGGTATACTAAACAGCTAATGAGGATGTATAGATATAAATAGATTAATTTAGAAAAATTGATATAAAATCATTCAAAACACTTGTACTTTTTCCTTCAGTATGTAAAGAAGTACTGTTCTTGAATATGTGTGGGTGTGTATGTGACATCATAATATGATTGTAAACTCGCAAGAAATGCATTGATACTTAATTTTGGCATAAGTTACAGTACTTAAATTGGCTAAGAATATTGGGAAGGTCGGCTAACAACACTCCCAAGCAAGTTTTAAGGTAGCTAATTTTAAACAAGTTTTAAGGCTGCTAGTTCTATGCATTTCATTGGATCATCATTGCAATTTGGTGAAATAAATAGAAAACCATAATGATATACTGGAACACCATTTATAATATTTAGATAAAATGTACATAAAGTAATAAAATAGTATTAAATTGAGTGTCATTTTACTTGACGAAGCCCATAATGAGGGGAATTTCTATAATTGATCTGAACCAGTTCTTAAAACGATCCTAATGATAAATCAAACCACTCTCCTCCCCCACCCCCTTATACCAAAAACCATTAAGCTATAGAGATTAACCATATGCTGGAATTTGCTTTACATCCTCACCGCTTGACCCACAAAAGCCAAGGTGCTCCCTTGAAAAGGCACTCAAGGGAGACAGTCTCCCCCACCCCTAATGTGGAAATTATGGTTGTGGGTATGTCGACTTCTGTATGTGCAATCAGGATCACAAATCGAAACACATTCTGTACAATATGGTAATTGTTACATAATTTGTGTAATCACAAGCTACACCAGTTACTTACTACTACACAACATCTTCCTTTATTTTTCCTGAATTTTTGTACAGTGCTGTAATACATTTCTTTCATATTTTACTGCCTTTTATAGTATTTCTTATGAGTAAAATAGAACAACATAAAAATCTTCAGTTAACTATTGGCTTGCAACACATTTTGTATTGTAAAATAGGGTCATAAATATTCCTGAGATGAAATTGTACACTTTTAAGGTCGTAAAAAATTAACAGTTTACAGTTATTCATTGAGATAAGTACAGTATATGGCTATTGTTGTGTGTCACTGAGATTGACTGCCTTTGTATACTTGCATTGTTAATTATGGCTATGGCTTGTGAACTTTAGCTCGGCATACTATA